AGAGAGAGAGAGAAGAGGGGAGGAGTTGATCTTGCGAGAACTTCCGGGCAGGTGAGAATAGCCACTTTCGAAAGCAAAATTGGTTGGCCTAGATCTAGGCTATAATGGTGAACGCACACCGGGTGAGAATAGCCAAAAGACTCGCCTGCACTATTCTCACCCGGGGTGAGAATAGAGGTGGCCATACACTTCGGCTTCGGTACTTAATATTGATGGCTGAATTGTAAATGAAATTTTTAGAAATCTAAATTATCTAAATCTAGTCTATCTAGATCTAGAATCTAGATCTAATGAGACCTGTGTATTTAACAGGCTTGAGTCGAAGGGCCAAACCTAGATATCTATCTATAAGTACGGCTAGACTGGCTTAAGCGCTAGCCACTTCGATCTAGAATCTAGATCTAGAAATCTAGATCTAGATATCTAAATCTAGAGATATCTATAAAAAGAGATCTATTGTCTAGATCTATATTCTAGATCTAGAATCTAGATCTAGTCTAGAATACTACAACTACAAACAAAGTACAAAGGTGTTTGCCCTGGCTTTCATCAGTTCACAGCTGTGAGTGGGAGGCCAAAGGCCAGGGAACAAAATTAGAAAGAAAGAGGGAACACACATACTTGATAAGACGAGGGTGAGGTCGACTGTAGATCTAGAGTACACCAAAAAGCGGCCGCGAAGGAGTGTCTGGAAATTTACCAGACTGCAAACGTGCAGCGACACTGCACAACAAAGCCGAAACTGAACTGACAGTAGAACATGACATTGAATGAACGAGTGTTGAATGAAGGCTGAAGGCTCGATTCTACTTACGCAAAAAATGGGTCGTTGTCAAATATACTTGATCCAAGCATGGTAACAAATGATTGTCAAGGTACAAATAAATTTGTAGTTACAGTCAGGCACTGATTGTCACTGCTGACACCTTAGATCGACAGTCGACAGATACACTTCCCTGACCTACTCTCAAGGCCTGCACTACACACACACGACAAAATGACTGGCTGGCTGCGCTGCCTGGGCCTGTGTCTGCTGACTCCAACAACTGGCAGCCACCGAGTGTCGTCAGCAGCACTGTCAGTGGAATACTCTCGATACTTGATATTCGATACCAAGTTCTATATCCGTCTCTGTCGTGGTA